GGGGGGGGGGGGGGCACAATTCATCTAACAGATGAAGCTCACATCTAACAGAGCTATAAGCCCTGAGCTAACAAGGGTCTAACTCCAGGGCTAAGTGTTGTGTGAAAAAGCCCAAGTGGGCTATACGTTCGGATGGCAATGTTGGATTAGTTTCAATTTCTTCAAGAAGCCGTCATTACCTATGTTATAGCATTAATTTGAGAAGTGCAACCAGTAGCAGAATACATCACATGTGCTGACATGGTTGTTATGCATTACTTAGCAGCAAATTATTTCATGACAAAGTAAACTGCTTCTATAGTAAGGTATTTTATGAAAACTGAATCATTGATCATTTGTACATAAAATGTAGCTCATAGAGAGGTTTTTTTCATTAAGCATTCATAAAATGAATGTTATACTGTTAAATTCTCTTTGATGAACAAATCCATCATTGTTTGAATCCATGCATATGACAGAGTCCCTCTCTCCATGCTAAGGGAAGGAATCATGACATGGCATGAGAGTCATGCCAATTGAACCACAACACGTGTTCTACCAGATCTAATTAATCTTATCCATGGCAGGTCTTTTTATACTTTCATTTGATGACCTATGCTGCCAGGGGAAAACTGCTCATTGGACAAACACTGTGGTTAAACTCAACTATGCTAACTGGGCATTTTTTATTTGGAATAATGTTGGCAGGTGCTGAGGCAAAGCCTTGTGTCTCTCATGTTACAAATCCTTTTATTGAACAACAGGCGCTCTCCTTTCCAGGAGGCAAGAAGAGCACTATAGGCAAGTGGCCTATATCCATGCAGAGACATAGAGTTAATTTCTCTCCTTTTGTTATAATGGCTTAAGGAACACGTTTAATATGCCCATTTCAGTGTTATTGTTTTGTTGTTGTTGTTTGTGAGTCAGACCCAAAAGAATTTGCTGATACTGTTAGCTTCTCTCAGGAGCTGCACATTTGTACTTCTGCCCATGAAAGCACACGCTCACAGAGGCACATTGGAAAAATAAACGCATACAGTATAAATAAACCACATGATTTTCCTTTTTCTCACTTTCATACACACACTAACAGGCTTCATTAAAGGTTATCTGACTTTAAAGGATCATTCCAGTTTATTACAATTTTGGGTCTTATTTTCTTAGGTTTGGTCATCACTCCTGTCAGTAATGATAACACACTGCCCAAGTTAATTGATGAAATCTAGAAAAGCAAAAACATTGCTAAATAGTAGCCTGATGAAGGATGAAAGATTGCCTTCATATCTGTATTAAAAACAAAGCCTTATTTGGAAGAGAAAATGGCTGGAAATCCACCACATTTTACAGACAGACTCCTTGGCGACTTTGACTTTCGTACACACAGTTTTCCTCTGCAACTAAGGATTATTATTAACATTATGGGTAAACTTTTGTAAAACAAACAACATAATTATTTTTTAACTTTCCACATCTTATCTGACTGCATCTGGTAAGCCTCCTGGAAAAAAAGATGCCAATATGTTAACACAACTTCCTGTTCTTTTAATCACCTTTGTCCACCATAACAGTCAGCTATCTGTTTTATGAACACTTATAGATACTAAATAATGGCTACAACCTTGTTCTAGACTGACAAACAGATAAAAATTAATAATAATTACTCTGTTTAGTGTGTTCATGGTGTTTTTATGTCTGGATTTCATGCAGGTAAAGCAACGCACATCATTTGTACAAAATGCGGACGTTTGAATATTATTCAGCATTTGGTACAATGCAACATATGTTTTCTACAATTTTTCAAATATGTAGTTGATATGATTGTCCTATTTCTGTCTAGAGCTCTCCACATAGAGTATTCTAAGAGAGAATCGAGCTTATTGAGTGTTATAGATTTGGTTAGCCAAATTCTTCTGCTTTTATAATTCAGTCATCCCTTCTGTCCTCAACACAGCTGATTAGAAAAATTGACATGGGCAACTCCAGCTCCTATTTGCAGAGGAATCAATACGACGCCCCCTGGGTAAAAGTTCATTTTTTACACATGTAACAATGGGCTCACTAAGGAGACTGAGGAGAACTGTTTTCCTATGATGTAACAACAGCAACCCTGTGGTCCTTTAAATAGGCATGCATTAATAAATACCTATCAAATCAAATAAATCATAAAATACAGTACTTGTAATAAATACATAAAAGGTAGGTTATATAGTAAAAAGTTTCAATATCAGCTCCCTCTTTTAAATCAGGCTTGAATTAATTTGCATTGTGACTCTATTGACTCTCAGTCTCAGTCAGTCAAAGTGAGCAGATAGTTATTGACGCGGATTAATTTGACCTGATGAAATATTGATGTACACATCTGTTGTTGCATACTGTTTGGCTAACATTGTGGTAATTTTTTTTGGCAGTATCACATATTTGAGGCATGAGAAAAGTTCTTAGTTTTTAAAGTTATAAAATGTTTTCCTTCAATAAAAGCATTTTGATTTTAGTTACATTTTCCCTATTCCCCAACTTGCAACTTGTTTCTTTCAACCTTTAGTCACAACCAGCCGTCTTTCCCTCCTTTTTTTACCTGCAAGGTGTCCGCCAATGTTTGTTTCTCTATAGGAAGTCGCTCTGCAACTCATTGGAGAGCTGACTGACAGCCACCTCACTATGTAGCGATCCTTTAAGTATCCTGGCAGTCTGCTGGGGGCTGTAGTCTGTAAAGTTTTCTCTGGTACCAGTGACTGTTTCAGGGCAAGGACAGTGTCTGCAGGTCCTGTGGTTCTCCGGCAGCCCATTTGACAACCTTGTGGAGTTGCACTCTTCTTTGTGATGCAATTGCATGCAAGTTCCCTTCTGTACAGAGCTGTGCTGACACAGACATCCACATGTCCTTCTGCACTGGGCTACATCCCGATACAAGGACTTGCGGAAGTTGGGCTTGAAGGCCAGATAGACAACAGGGTTGTAAAGGGTGGAGGACTTGGCAAAGATAGCTGCCAGAGCAAAAGCCATGGGTGGTACAGTTGCTGAGTTCCCAAATGCTGCCCACATGGACACAATGGCATATGGACTCCATGCTGTCAGGAAACCGATGCAAACTGCCACAGACAGCTGAAAAGAGACACAAACAATACATTTATCATGTTAACATGTATTTACTTATATAGTATCTTGGAAAGAGAACCTATTTACCTTAATAATAAGTGCATGTGCATTGGTGATCTTGTTCTGCGGGGACATGTGCTGCTGCACAGCTTGACGGGAGCCCCGGACTGTCATCAAGATGAATGTGTAAGACAAGAAGATGATAGTGCAGGGCACAATGTAGCAGAAGAAGAAGAGGCAAATGATGTAGCTCATGGCTGCAGAGCTTTGGCTGGGAGTATGCCAATTGATGCAGCATGCTGTACCATAAGGCTCTGCCCCATACTCTCCCCAGCCAGACAGGGGACCTATAGCAAAAACTCCAGCGTAGCACCAGATCCCAGCAACCAGTAAGCAGGCGTGGCAGTAGGTGAACTTGTTACCTGAGAAAGAGCACAGCAGGGTAGAGACAGAGGCAGAGGAGGGAAAGTTGGGGGAGTGATTACTGACAGATGAAGACATAGAGGATGGATACAGAAACAACAGCATAGCAACAATATGCTACTAAAGCATATTAAGTCTGGTTACCTGATGCTGATAACAGGCAATGAGTGAGGAGGAGAAAGAGGAGAGAAGAAGGAAGGAGTGAGATGATATTTTCCAATAAGTGATGAACAACTTGATCATAATTTTACCTAGGATAGATTGGTAAGGTTGACAAGAAGAATGAACCACTTTTCTACAGAGAATGTGGATAAAAAGATTAATTAATTTTGTCCCGTGTCAAGCCTATGCATATTTTGACGTGACCTCAGGTATGTTCAGAAAAGCTATTACACGGCCCCCAGGAATGGACATGTGAATTTAACAACGTTCATAATGCCAGAGAGCCAAATATAAACATTGTTCTGTGTGTATGGAAAGTTGCTGCAAAGTATGTTTCCTTAGAGGCGCTTACAGAAGTATGTGGAAAAAAAACACTAGGTGAGTAGTCTGAGCACTGTACACACAAGACCTTATATTAGGAAATATAGTCACCACTGTTTGTCAGTACTGGCTGTTTATTTCTTGCATAGAAGGATCTGAACAACAGATGCAAACAGCAACAGACAAATCCCACTAAAAACTAATTTAATTCGATGAATCACTTTATTTGAGGATTTTATTTGAGGATTTTTAAATTTTGTGTGATGGTGATAGTGTGACATTTTTTCTAGCCCATTTTATGTTTGTATTAGAATTGTACTTGTATGGCAATACGATTTATTTGCTAATTCATTGATTGTTGGAGTTGTATTAAGAAATTAATAGACTAATAGATTATTATTATTATAAACAAAGTCATCAGAAAGGGAGCAGGAGGGTTACTACATTCTAATATTTATTGTAAATGCTTTATCTTATTCTGATCTCACTCACCACTCCAATTATGGATGATGTGGCACATGAAATCCACAGTCAATAGCCAATGTTTCCACAAGAGGCTATTGGTACAATATGAAATGTTTGTACAGTCTAATTCCAGAGTATACAACATTTGACACATTTCATTTTAAAGAGTTGCATGTAGTCATGGAGCACTCAGCTGACATTAGACTCATGTGCCTGAATGTGAATAGGGGGACTGTAACTGTTGACTGTAATTGAATTGGACGAGGGCTTCTTCTGTGTGGAATCAGTGAGGAGGAGAACACAGGGAGCCTTATCTATGATACCACACAGCCTCTTCAGCTGGATGTCAGCCCCTCTTACAGTTGCCGACTGAGGGTGGGGGTTGGTGATTAGGCCCTGTGGCACTCACTGAACTGTGTGGCGCAGGGAAAGGAGGCTGGTTAACCATTACAGATAGCTCTCATTTGATATTAAGTGTCCCTTCGCCGATTGAATTCTCCAGCTCTCTGAGTGGCACATGAAGGATTCAACCTGAGCACTTCTTTCACAGAGAGCTGAACTCAATTACAAACAGAATCCCTCAAACATGTGCTCTTACATTTTAAATAAAGCTGCATGCAACGTTTTTTCTCCTAATACTCTGATACCTCAACTCAGGGTATCTGAATAAGCTGAATACTGAGCCAATACCATCTCTCCCTTTTTTTTTATTCATAATAATTTCATGAGATCCATGGTAACATGTGGCAAGGGAATGCTGTGGCACTAAAAACTGGGACTGGGCCTACTGTAATTGAATAAATCTAGCTGCTAGTGAGATTGTTATTGTTTAATATTATTTTATTTATTTATTTTTATAAGAAACTAGATGGTCAAATCATGGCAGATCGATATGCTTCAAGTTTAAATAAATAAATTAAACCTCATTTTTGAAACAGTTTACGCTTTGGCATCTTTTCTACAATAACAATTTTGATGTATTCTCATTCAGTAGTTTAGTAAGTAATTACCTCTGTATTTAGTCGTTTTTATTTATTGTTAGTGGTGGGGGATGGTATTCCCACGCTGGTTTTAAATTACCCTTACACAGAAGAGGCCCAAACAGGATGTAATCAAGCCTAATTTGATTTAATTTAAAACAACCACTGTTTACTGTTTGCTCTTCTATTTACGCTGTATCAGCTGTATTAAATTACTGTCAGTGCAAACAGAATCTATAGCTGTTAATTCACATTAAAAACATTTAACTGGCATAACATGAGATGGAGGTGAAGTAGCTGAGAAAAGAAATGCAATGTATAGTATTTGTCACTGTGGTTAGTGCTAACCACGACTGTTCATCCAAAAGAAGACACAGATAGATGAAGAACTGAAGCAGAACCTCCAACTCCTCAGAAAGACTGCTGTGAGGTGATGAAATCAAATCGCAGTTAAAGAATTATTGTTGACTTTTTTTATTTAAACATTGTGAGCTTGTTTGGCTGCACTGTGAACATATACACCAGTTGCTCTTTCGTTGTATTCCTGTCAAAGTAGCTGCTCAATTGATAGATACACCAGATTGTGATCCAGTGCATTTGATTGAAGATGTATTTTTTCTGATTCATCTTGTACAGCTTTTTTTGTTTTGTTTTACAGTGTGCATGGTCTTGACTGTAATGAGTATTTGGTGATAACTCTGGTTCCTATGGTGCAGGGACACACCAGTCACTCCACAAATTAGTATTAAGTGGAAATGCTGATGCTATTATCCACATGCTCACTGTATATACAATGTCATATACTGCCATATATTGTGAGAGATGTCAGCTTGAATTGACTCTGAATCTATTCAAGCTCATATGTTCCCAATCGGCATCAATTTCCACAGCCAATTACACTTACCATCAGGACAAATACCCCACATTGATCCTGGTTTCAGTTCACATTAAGTCATTCCTCTTTAACTGTAAAGCAATTCCCCAGCTCCCCCTCTTCATTCTCTACTATTCAAATCCCAGTTCCCTCCTGACATTAGTCTTCTTCCTGAGAACGTGTCTTATGTTTGATGGATTTCGATCCTTCATCAGCAGTCATCGGAGGCTTTAGATTAAAGTGAGGGCTAATTTGTCTGTCAGCAGACATTTACCAGTGTTGGAATGTTACTAAGTACAATTACTCAAGTACTGTATTTAAGTACAAATTTGAGGTAATTGTGCTTTACTTATTATTTCATATTTACATTGCACAACTTTATATTTCTACTCTACTTCATATCAGATGCAAGGATTGTAGTTTTTACTCCACCACATGTATCTACAGCTTTACTGTAGTTACTTTGCAGATTACAATTACAAAAACCATGTATGTCAAAATGTGGTGATTTTGAATGTGAATGTTTGCGATAAACTGAAGGCTTAAATGTTCCTTTATGGGTTGAGATAATTTTCCTACATCTTAAAATAAATGATTTAAAACCTTTTTGGATTAGCTGGAAAACGCATAGTCACAAATCTGAAAACTAGGCTGTTTTTCTGAGCACATGATTTTTTTCAGAGATATGTAGTTAAAATTAGCACAACCTTAATCATGCATAGAAGTAAAATGCTACATACACATTAATGCAGCAGTAATATTAATCCAAAAACATCATAGAAACACTGACAGGGACCATTTTACTGCACAATAACTAGTTTTACTTCAGATTTTTTTAATACAGTTTGCTGCTAATACTTATATTTACTTAAGTAACGTTTTGACTGCAACACTTTTACTTGTTGTATTTTTACTGTGTGGTATTAGTACTTTTACTTAAGTAAAGGATCGGAAAACTTCTACTACTTTCATTAAGAACAGAAATACCCACGTGAGGTACTCCAGCTAAAAATAACTAATAAAAGAAAGAAAGGAAGAAGCACTCATCTCCCCAATGCCCCATCTGCTACATATGTGTTTATTTCATCAGGCTGCACCTTGGAGGGTGTTCTTTAGTGCTGTGCTCAAAGACATTTCAGCAAGAATGGGTTTGTGGGAATGGTTTTTAACCATGTGTTTATTTTTACTAGCTATACATATATATATATATATATATATATATATATATAGAAACATTTTAACCTGTCCCTGACGGATGAGCACAAGATTTCAAGTCTAGGCAGATCTTTTGTCTCATTTTTGGTAGCTCTAATCATTCAGACTCACCCAGAATGGACAAATCCCTGGAGAATTGTTTGAAAAAGCCAATGCAATTTGCTTAGCTAACCTAACTAAAAATCTATGTAGCTTGCTGTCTTATTACTTCTATGAATAAATATGTGGTAGACTCCATGCTCTGAATAATAGCCCAGTGAGGGATCTTCTTTTCATAATTTGGTTTCTTACATATTTATTCCTCTTTTTTAAAGCAGTTAAGAAACAATTAAACATTCCAAAAAATGATAACCATTTTAATTCTGATTTAAAGGAGTCTCAATATTCCACCAACAACAACTAATCCAATTTTACCAAGTTTAGTTGTGTTTTGACCACTGATAACAGTAGCCCATACTGAACTGACAGGTGGAAACCTCTCCATAATAACTCCACACGTGAAAACTAAACCTTGTGGGTCAAGCAACCCATAAATGTTGTCATGGTTTTCTACTTTCATCCCTCCCAGTAACTGATCCGCTGATATTTTTGGTGTTACTCCATAAACACAGTTCCAACATACCATGTTATTTTTCTTCATGTTTATGCAGAGCACTCTATTCCTCACTCTACAGACAATGATAGCTTTCTGGCAATTTTTACATGCCACCTCAAGGCAGTGAGAGTTTGCTGCTTTTTGGTTTCCTTTGTTGGCTGTTTTCGAAAGTTGCTTGTCTTTACAGATACAGTTTTTTAATCCTGTAAAAACACCAAATGCTTCAATTCATAACATTTTAGCTTTTTCAGGCACCATTAGACAGTGTTAATTATTTTAACTGTCTGGAGCGACCTGTAACGCAATTTAAACAGACTTTTTTATTCACATACACATTAGGACACCCCTAAGAGTTACCCCAGAACCAATTGCATGGATGGACAGGGGAACCAACAGTGACAGTTAAACAATTCCAACTCCTGTGTAAGTTTGCCTGGTAATAGTATGGTACAACAAGTTGGTGTGAACTGATGGTGCAGATGCAGGTTTTGCAATTATTGTCTAAGATCTTTGCATGCAGTCATGCTGTGTGTCCCTGTTGATTTGTGTATTTGTGAGAATGGTTATGTGTTGTGTTTGACTAGGGGAGCCATTTTCCTGCCTTGAATTGTATAAGTGTAGAACAAACAGGACAGCATAGTTTAAACAGTGTGCCAGCAAAATTGCGTACATTTGTAGCATGTTCCTTGCAGGGAAAGCCATCATGAAAAGGCCATAATTATTTATGGCTCATTTACCTTTTCAACGCACTTTGTATTTTGTGAAGGCTTGTATGTCTGGGGGTTTTAATCATAATTAATAGACTGGTTCCTCTGGTAACCAGACAAGATGAGCTGTTTAAAACACCGCTTTGACCTTCAATTATACTGTGCCTATTAGCAAAAAAATCTGGAAAAAACTTCTAATTCTATTCGGATGCTGCTAACACTGCACGTCAATTTTCCAAAGCACTTCCTAAAAGTTGGAGGTCTGACAACCATTAAGGCGCCTGAATTAGTTAAATTTCCTAGTTGTTATATTAGTATATCATTGGTTTCAGGGCATCTTTTTACGCTGTGTAATCAGGCATTATGCATGCCACTGTGTGTCAGATTGGCCTCTATTTTGTGTACCCCCTGCCAGTGTGGTATGGACCGAGTGTGAGAAGCATATAAATCAAACAATTACCTGGATTCTTCACTCCAGGATACAGATTCCTGCAGTGAAAGAAACTGTGCTGCAAGCATACAAAATGCTGATCCATTCAATCGAGAGAGTTGGATGAAGGATAGTGTTTCTGAGTGAAAATAAATTATGTCAGGTTTCTGTCCCAACCCTGAAACCCAATTTGTATAATATTGGTGGAGTGCGATAATTAAGGAGACCAGAAGACGGAGAATGCGTCGAGTCACACTTTATCTCCCCACTTCACAAATATTAACCAAAACTCTGTACACCAAGTAAGGGTGCCAACTTGCAACGACCCCGAAACCAAACCCGGAACTGGCAACACCTTATGACCTCTCGCCTTAAAGGTACAGTCCTCCTGGGTGAATGTCTCCGTTAGTTCATTGTGAGTCACCACACAGGCCCCCCCAGAATTCACCCATAACAAACAAGGCCAAGACCGAACCAGTGTTACCCCAATTAGAACAGACACCACCCCCCTAGTGCAAACAGAACAGTCCAGCTTTCAGTCCAGCAGTCCCTAGAAAAGTCAGCGTATAGGGGGGCGGATCATGCGGCCATAACGGCTGCGCTTAACAGGCAGAAGGGGCAAAGGGCAAGGGGTAGGGCCGGGGCTT